CTTTATTTTGTACATCAGGAAGGGGGGCTAGGGAAGGGTAAGTGGAAGGAGGTGAGGGAGGAATGGGGTATGAGCCCCCAATGGGGAGGACTGGGCTGGCTCTGCGGGCTTCTGGGGGTGGAAGCTCTCCTGCAGCCCCCCGATTGCCCCCTCTCCCCAGATGGTAGCCTGCGGCAAGTGCAGCCGGTCTGATGGCCGAGTGCTGTGATGTGCCCAGTGTGGGTACTCCGGGCACTCCAAGCCAGGACTGCTTTGCAAGCGGGGCACCCCTGAGAACTGTCTGTCCGGGGTGGGGGTCGGGACCCTTTAAGTGCAGCCCTCGGCTAGCCTGAGACAGCATCTCCATGCTCTAAGTCCTCCTCTGATGCCCTGCCGGCACTGCTTCCGGCCATCCTTAACCCCGCTTCAGGGTCCACTTAATGTAGACTTGCTAGTTCGAATTAGCAAAACGCTAATTCGAACTAGTTTTTAGGTCTAGACGCGTTAGTTCGAATTAGCTTAGTTCGAATTAACTAATTCGAACTAAGTTAGTTCGAATTAGCGCTGTAGTGTAGACGTACCCATACATTCTTATATAAAATGAACAGAGTAATGATCAAAATACGGCCACCTCACTAGAAACTAACAGAAGAATAGAGGCACACCCATATGGAACTTTTCCTGTCCTTGTTATGAAAACTGTTATGACACTAACTGCTAACATGAGCTCAGATACATAGTAAATGGCACAGTTTAAGAACTGGAACAAACTAGAGTCAAGTAGAATTTCCATTACAGTTACAAGCCAAATTCAGGCCTAGCTGAAGGTTCCATCTGAGTGATGCCTGTAATAAGGACTGAATTTGAATCTAAAAGCATAAGTCAAAGCCAGGTGCAGTGTTAAAGGGAGATGGACCCAGCCTCAGGTGTGATGGATCAGCTACCTTCCAGCTGAGGCTGATCAACTGTGAATTAGAACACAGATTTTTAAAGGCATTTAGACATTACTGTGCTCAGTGTTCCAATGTATAAGAGATTTAGAAGCCTAAATCCCATGAACTATCGATGAGATTTTGATTCTAATGTGCTGAAAAATCTTTTTCTAAAATGAGATTTCGGCTATGTCTACAGTGCATTTTTGACAATTTTGTCACTCGGAGCTGAGGAAAAAAAACACACCTCTGAATGACAAAAACTTTTGCGACAAAAAGCACCAGTGTGGACAGTGATCCCAGTGACAAAGCTACTGCCCCTCACTGGAAGTGATTTTATTTTGTTGATGGGAGAACTCTCTCCTAGTGACAGAGAGCAGCTACATTGTGCACCATGCAGCGTTGTGGCCACGGGAGCAAAGCTGCGTCATTAAAAGATGTATCGCATAGATATAGCCTTAGGCTCATAAATCAGCGAAGCAAATGTTCAATCCGCATTTGCTCTGTGGGAAAGTGCTGGAGAACGATGGGAGAATGGTTCATGCCTTTGTGGATTTTGCTAAGGCATTTATAGCATACAACAGCAGTTCCCAGTCGCCGGGCTGTGGACCACTGCCAGTCATGACCCGCTGGCTGCCGGGCTGCGGCTGGCTGCTCAGCTCCAGTGGCCATGGTGCCTATGGCACGGCAGGAGGAGGCGGAGCAGGAAGCGCCTTCCTCCCACCTCCATTCTTCGCACTTGGGGAGAGAAAGGGATTGAAGGAGAAGGAAGCACACACGCCGCCCCCCATGCCCACACGGCCGCTTTTGCCAGAGGTGGCGCTAGGGCTGAGGTGGCAGCAGGAGGCAGCGTCTCCCTCCCTTCTCAGTAATGGCAGCCAGCCAGGGCTTTATGCTTTGCCCATGTGGCCACTTTTGCCAGCGGCAGCACTGAGGTAGCAGCGGAGGAAGAGACGCCTCCACCCTCCTCGTCAATGGCGGCCCGGCTGAGGCTCTGCACTTCCCCCCACCCCAACATGGGGATAGAAGATACGCTTGGGAAGGGAGTGGGCGCACTGCTAGCAGCTGCTCCCCCTTTCCACATGGCAGTAACAGCCATGCTCCCTGAGGAGCAGAAGTACGGGACTGAGGTGGGGGCAAAGGGGTGTTGGGTGAGGCCATGGTGAGGTCACAGACAAAAGGGTGTTGGGTGAGCTATAGGGGTCAGAAGTTAAAGGGTCAAAGGTCATAAGGTGCAGGGGTAGGGATCAAAGGGTGTAAGGCACTGGAAAGGAAAGGGCTGGGTTAGGGCGAGGCAGCCAAGCAACACTGTATTTACATATTCATTATTTGCATAATGAATATGCAAATATTCAAATAAAATGTTACTGGTCCACCAAAGGTTTGTGAATGGGTCTGCCGGTCTTCAGCATAAAAAAGGTTGGGACCCACTGGCATACAACACAAACGTCTTTGGGCAAACCTGTGGTTGGACAGAGTTGGGATAAATGTAATAACAAATGTCTATGGAAACAAAATGGCTTCAGAGTTTGTGGGGCAGAAGCAATATAGTTGGCTTGATTTGTGGATAGATATCAGACAAGGCTGCATGCTCTCACCGACCCTCTTTAACTATTACTTAAAAGTAATTTTTAAAAGATCCAATAATGAAAGCCTACAAATTATCGTGTCAGTGGCTAAAATATTAGTTATTGGGTTAATCAGATGTTAATCAGATCGGACCATTGCAAGAAGAGGGAGACAAATTGTTGGAAAGGGTAGCACTGGAAGTAGAAATGTTAAGTCTAAACATCTCTCTCAAAAAGACAAAATGGTAACATCTAAATCTGCTGGAAAAGTACGATATTTCTATCCAAATCTGAAGCGGCATTAGAGTGTGGCAAGCCTAGAAAGTCTGACTGCAAGAGACTTCAACCATCATTTAAAGATTCAACACAGAACTGAACTCATGACTACTGCCCTAGCAACACAAGGTCACATTTGAAGAAGTAAACATTACCATGAAACATTAAAAAAAAACCCCAAACCCTGCAGTTTCTTGCTTTGCTCTGTGCATACAAGAGACAATCTCTAAGGCAGGGGTGGGGAACCTCTTTTGGGTCCACTGACCCACAGAAAAGTCCACCAGAGACCACACACAAGTGAGAAGCAAAGTGAGAAGCCCTT